GCGCAGAAAAAGCAGCTTGAGCGGATGCGGGCATTAGCACTTCAAAGAGCGCTGCCCTCCCCTCCCTGGCGGCACGCCGCCAGGGATGGCAGACCAAAAAAAAACAGGAAATGGCTCACGGAGCTCTCTCATATTCGGACTCCTCCTGCTCGTCCCCCGTCTCCGCTTCCTCTCCCCGGCCACCAGCCATTTCCTCCCCGTCCTCTTCCTCCTCCATCTTCTCCATTTCCTCTTCCTGCTTGTCATCTCTCTCGGCCTGGGCCATCGTACTGCTGTGGACTTCTGGGGACAAACCGCCCACAGGCAGGCCTGCGAGCAGCACGCGCGCGAGAGCGGCGCCCTCGCCTCCTCCTCCTCCTCGTCCTCGTCCTCCTCCTCCTCCTCCTCCCCCTCCTCAACCTCCTGCTCCCCTCCTCCTCCTCCTCCTCCTCCTCCTCCTCCTCCTCCTCCTCCTCCTTTTCCTCCTCCTCCTCCTCCTCCTCCTCCTGCGCAGGCCGACGGCATCCAGCAGGCAGAAGCCTGCATTGGAGTACCATGTTGGACCTGCTCTAGAGAAGGAACATACCGTAGACGGATCTACCCTTTCTCCGACCTTGCACCGCGCCGAACGCAACGGCCACGCTGTCCACAGACGCATCCAGCCTGAAAGCGTCTGTGGGCGTCACGGCACCCAGATGTGTCCATAGACGCTCTTGGCTAGGACGTGAGAACGGTACTTCGCATAGGCCCTGGATGTTGGCTAGAAGCAGGCAGGCTTGACCCCCCAAAGTCTGCCCACCAGTGTCTACAATGAAGAAGCGAGCGCGGCGACAAGGAGAGAGCGGGGACAAAGGGAGCAACGAACAAGCCTGGGCGCCTGCACGGACCAACCGCTTCGGGTCAGAGAGTCAGACGCTTTGAGGCCAGCGAGCATGAAGACCTCGCCAGCAAGCACACCAGCCATGACAACGCACCATGCCTCCGAAGCAAGAGCAACCTGAGCTAGCGACACATCAGGCCCGTACCAGAGAGAAGGCTGGACACAGCCTTAATTACCGAAGCGAGACGAGGCAGCCCAACCGATGCAAAGCGGACGGACGCGCACCAAACCGAACATGAACAATAATAATAGCAACGCTAATACAAATAATAATGATAAAAACGGTGATACTACTACTAATGAAACAATAAAATAGTAATGATACGAATAATGATAATACCAATAATAATCAAACAAAAAAGACGAAGAAAAAGAAGAAGGAGAAGAAGAATAAGAAGAAGAAGAAGGGAAGATGGCCACCGGAACGCGCATCAACTCCCTGAATACGCCCCGACAAGGGAGACAGGCCGAGAGCCCCCAAGAGGACCCGAGAGGGCGCCAAGAGCCCCCGACAAGAACTAATAGGGATGGCCCCGTGAGCGTCCGAGACGGCCCACCGAGCCTCACAGTAGGCCGCCGGGACGATGACGAGAGGACAGGGCATTTTTTTTTACTCCTCGAGCGGGCGCAAGCCCCCGCGTGGTCATGCCACAAATTCTCAGCGGGCCGCAGGCCCGCGCAAACGGCGCGGGACTGCCGAGGGGGCGCTCACCAGCGTCGGCCCCGCCTCCTCGCCGCTCGCGGGGCTGCCTCGCCGCGCTCCCGCGCGCGGTCGCGCTCCCCGCGCACCTGGGCTGCCTCTCGCCCTCGGGCGCGGGCGTCGTCCGCCGACGCGAAGCCGTGCGCGCGGAGGACGCCCTCCAGGTCGGGCACTGAGAGCTCCTGCAAGCCCGCGCGCACCGCGGGCTGCACCGCCGCCGCGCCCACGGCTGCCGAGGCGCTCGCCGAAGCCGCCGCCTCACCGCCCGCAGGCCCAGCCGCGCCAGCAGCACGCCCCGCCGCAGGCTGTGCAGCCGCAGGCCTTGGCGAGCCACCTGGGCCGCCAGCCCGCGCCGCCGCCAGGAGCTCGCCCACCTGGGGGTTGGGCCAGTCGAGGTCATCCACCTTGAGCGACCTTCGCCAGCGCTGCATCTCCTCCAACGTCGGCGACTTGAGCATCACGATCGGCGGCTTCTCCTCGCCTGGCAATCGCAATCTGCCGAAGTCAGTCCTGGCCTGAGCACGCGACCCTTGGCTCGATCTGTGATCGCCACCGACGCGCGGCTTGGCCAGGCCCCTGTGCGCATACCGCGGCTGGTGGCAGTACATGAAGCAGCGCGTGCGCACCAGGATGGCCTCGCTCGGCTTGCTCACCACGTTGGTCTGCATAATGTTGTGGCCGTGCACTACCCATGGCTCTGGTCCAGCCGTGGGGGCAGGTGACGGCCGTTGCTCATCTAGCTGGGTGTGCTGAGATGACTCTGCTGCCGACCTGGCCTCCGCCCTGCGCCGAACCTCTCTGGCAAACACCTCGCTCGCTGCCTCAGCACGATGACTGCCCCCCTCGCCTGGCCCCACAGCGATGGGGGCGGCTGGGGCGGATGCGGCCCTCAGCGCAGCCGCTGGGCGCTTTCGAGTAGGCCCAGCTGCGCCGCCCGCGGCTCCTGCCGCTGCGCCTGTGGCCGCTGCGCTGGTCGCTGCCGCCGCGGCGAAGGCCGCCGCTGACACAGCTGCCGAGCCTCTGCCACGCTGCGCCGTGGAGGCGTCCAACAAGTCGTAGTCCTCGTACTCCCACGACAGGTTCCACGGGTAGAGGCACGGCTGGAGGTTGACGTTGTCCAGGGCTTCCGTCGGCCAGCAGTCTCGCATCCCAGAATCCGCGATGAAGACCTCGATCTCTGCGGCGAAGCGGGCTGCGTCGCGAGCCCCGGCTAAGCAGCCCTCCAGGAGCTGGACATCGTCGGCTGGAAGGGCGTGGAGGGCGGCCCCTTCCTTCGCTCGCTTGTCGGCCAGGCGGTTGCCGAAGAGCTCGATAGCAGATAGCTCCCCTCTGGCCACGGCTGCTTCTGACCGATGTGCAGGAATGTGCTTGACTTCCACACCTTCCGCGGCGCCCCCAACTCTGGCCCAAAGATGGGCGTGGGTCGAGGTTGGGCCCTGAGCTCTGCCAAGGTTGAGCGCCGAGTCCACTGCGCCCTTGCAGTCGATCAGCAGCTGGTAGTTGCCAATGACCTCCGTGAGCGCCACCACCGCTGCGTAGTCTTCTCCAGCACGTGCCGTCTGCGATGGGCATAGACTAGGGGGAACAGCTCCCCACGCCTCTGCTAGGACCGCCCCCACCTTGGACAGAACGACGACCGACCAGCCAGCGCTGCGCAGGCGCGGAAAGCCACCGAGGATACAGGAGCCGTCGGTGAAAACCACGGCACCGTCTTCGACCACAACTGCTTCATGCCAACCATGCGAGAGCCGCTCCCATTGAGGCTGCCAGCACGGGCGGCGCAACAGCTGGGAGGGATCCACGAACAGGCCCTGGCAGAACAGCTCATCGAACGGCGGGCCCATCTCGTGGACTACCCAAGCTGCGCGCTTCAGGTCGGGCGGCAGCCTGTCGCGCCGCCAAGGTTCCCAAGCTGGGCAAACGTGGTGCCTGTGGAACATCGTTCCTCGTGCAGCCTGGCATAGCTTGCAGATCGGGTCGATGTCCGAGGAGTGCCTCGCAAGACGGTCCTGGGGCCAGTGTGAGAGCGAGACGAGCCAGCGGAGGCACCCTTTGTGGTGACCAGTCCAGGTCTCCGACTCCTTCTTGCCGAGCAGCTCGTTGACAGGCCTCCACTGTGGCGGCAGCTTCCATGGCCAGAGCGATCCAGGACGATCACGAGCCTCCTCCAGCGCGGCCGCTTTCCTCGTGGCCTCTCTGGCCCACTCCGCCAGGAAAGCGGGCGAGAAATGCAGCACCTCCAACTCCCTCTTGTCCTCGTCCAGCAGCTTGGCGCCGTCGACGGCGAGCTGCCAGCCTATCCTCTGCAGAGTGAGCGTGAGCGCCGCTATCGGCTGACGGACTGAGCTCCAAGGCCGCTGCTTGCTTAGCACCTGCTGGCTTTCGTGGATGCACGCTTGGATGGCTGCAGCAGAGGCTTGCCCAGACCACACCACGTTGACGAATGCCTGCGCTGCCATTCCCACTGCGACCACCAGCGGGTCCTGCCGCCAGCCACGGGGCGCACACTGCAGTGCAAAGCTGAGGGCCGCTCCAGGCGGCAGGCGACCCGCGCTCTTCGCCGCGGCCACCCTCAGCGCCCTCATGCGCCCAGGTGGAACTCCGGAGATGGCCGAGCCCCAGAGCGCCTTGGCGGTCGGCCCAGCTCGCATCACCCGAGCTTGCCGCAGCCCAGGCCCGAAGATGCGTGTCAGTCTCGCTGCCTGACGGAGTGCATCCAGCTCCCGCTTGACCTGCGTCGCCACCATACGGTGGCCACCAGCCGTCGCGTCGCCACCGAGATCTCGGTGTCCTTGAGCAAAGGCGTCCCTGTCCAGCGGCCACCCCTCCTGTCTCATCAGCTCGCGCTGGGTGTCCACTGAGGATGCCAGCACCTTCGTCTTGCCCCAGTTGATCGGGAGCCGCTTGTCCCTCAGCATCGCCACGACGCCCTGGGCGAAGCTGTTCACCTGGCTGACTAGCACACCTCTGGATCCGATACCATTGCCCGAGATGTCGTCAATCACGTTGACGATCCTCCCGATGGGGAGATTGGCTCTGCTCTTGACAAGGAGGTCCATCAGCATGAGCCTGGCCATCGTTGTTGCACACGAGCAGCCAGCTATGACCGTGCCCCTCGCATGTATCTCTTCGCTGACTGCGCTGTCTGCCTCGGTGAGGGCATTTTTTTTATCCTATCACCCTGGGGCTTATCATGCACAGACAAATTCTAGCAACGACGCGCCTGCCCGCGGACTTACACCTGCCGCGGGGCCGCCGAGCTCAGGGACGCGCCCCCTGCCTGCGGCCCCTCCCCGCACCGGAGGCGCCCGCGGCCGGCGCGGCGGACGGCGGAGGTCCGGAGGCGCCCGCGGCCAAGGCGCGAGCCCCCGCTACGAACAGGCGGATCGTCGCGACGTCGCCGTGCTCCACGAGGCTCAGCACCTGCGGGTCCTCCGGGTCCACGCCCGCCTCGACGAGCTGCGCGTGGAGGGCCTCGAGCTCTCCGCACCCCTCGGGGACCTCGGCGAGCGTCGCGACAAGGGCAGCGCGCTCGTCGCCCTGCGGCCCAGCAGCCGCCACCGCCCCCTGCACCCCTCCGCCGACGCCGCGCACGAGGCCATCGGCCCAGCTGTCGTCGTCGATCGGGTCGTCGGAGGCGTCGGCGGCCTCGGCGGCCGCCACAGCCACCAGCGCGAGCCCAGGGCCCGCAGGCGCAGCACCAGCAGCCGCCCCAGCGGCCTCCGCCTCCTCCGTGTCGGTGTCCATCTTGGCGGCTGCACGCCGCGCCGCACGACGCTGGCGGCGGCGGCGCCGCCGCTCCACCCGCGCCGCAGGGTCCGCGCCACCGCCAGGACGTTCACCTTGTTGCTCCTCGGCGCCAGCCGCCGCGGCGGGCGGGGGCGGTGCCGTGACGGCGAACGCCGCCGCCGACACTGCCGACCTCGCCACCGCCGCGACCGTGCGCCTCGGCAGCCCTTTCGCCCCGCGCACGGCCGCCTCGACGAGGAGGGCCGCCGACGCGGGATCCAGAGCACCTCTAGCCGCGCGCGCAGCAGCCATCGCGGGAACGACGGGCCGAGCGCCAGGCTTGCGAACGCTTGAGCCAAAATGGCTACGGACTCGGTGAGGGCATTGGATAAGGAACAGATGGATAAAGAATCCAGGGTCTCGGAGCCAGTGGAACTTCGATCGTGGATTGGCCATGGATACCGCCGCCGCCCTCATCAGATAAGAAATCTCCAGGGTCTGAAGCCCCTGAGCACATTCCTTAACCAGCGCCCCCACCGTATGTATCTTGCTGTCGACGGCACACGATGGCCTCTAGCACACCCCGAAGCCCCAGAGCGGGCTGTGGAGGAGCCCGCAAGGCTACAGGACTGCCCATGCTGGCCACGACGGCCCCAAGGGTGCTCCAAAACTGCCCATGAAGGCCCGAAGGCAGCCCAAGACAGCCCATGGCGAGGCCAAGGACAACCAAAATGGCACCAACAGTCCCCCTAAGACGGCAGGAGAGGGCGCTCAGGAGCACCAAGACCGCCAGAGGACGCCAGCACATAGAACTCAAACAGTAGACTCCTGTAAAAGGCGGGGGCACGCGTGGATCCCTACGTATGTGAAACCTCGTGTGCCGAGCCCTCAAGTACGATACGTGAGAAATCTCACGAGGAAGCCGCCACAGGAATCCGAGCGCAAAGCACGGCAACACGGGCCTGTCATGGGAAAACCAGAGGGTGCCATGAGACGCAACAGTAATCCAAGCAGACACCGCCGTAGGAATCCAACAGGCCACCGCCATAGGAATCCAAGGGCCAGCGGGAAGTGCGGAAGCCATGGCCGGTAAGGGGGAGGAACCAAGGGAAGCCACGAGGACGCTACAGGAAACCACAGAGAGCAATAGGAACTCAGGCGGCCACGAGAGGAGTGTGGCAACAAAGTGCTGCTCCGTGGTGAGGCTTAGACCTCCGTCTGTCACGTCGGGGCCAGCACTCCTGTCTGAACTGGCATGCCTCAACTGAGGTGGATCAGCATCCACTCGCCAGTCCCCAGTGCTGATGGCCCAATGCAAGGGGCTCGGCACCTGGGAGACTGGCCGACTTTGGGATGCAACTCTCAGGAATCTTCGAGCTTGCCGGCATCCTCAGACGATTGATGGCATCCCCGAGCGCCTCTCCTTTCGAGCCAGGCTCGGCCGCCGCCATGAGCCGCTCACCTCTGCACGAGCCTTCCAGTCGTCGAGACCAGACGCAGTCTCCCACCAGACCCGTCTTGTCGCCTGCTCGAGGCCGCCTATCGAGCGGGCTCTGCAGCGAGGCTGGCGCCATCACAGCGAGTGGGCAACTCAGATCCCGATCGAAGCTCTAACAGCTCAGATGAACAGCCAAAGACATGCGCCCGGGGGGGGGGGGGGCGAGTTCAGGCAGGCTGGCGCATTGTCGGCACATGCCAGTTCCGCTGATGTGGTGTGGACACCGCGCGCAGGGGAGGCGCGTCCAACCTTCCCAGTCCCTCCTCCTCTGTCCATTCTACGAGGAAGGCGCCCAAGCACCTTACCACATTCAGAATCCAGTCAAGCCCCGCTCCAACGCGGTACGGTGCATAGTTGTTCGGCCCTGAAGGCTACCAAGAAATGCACCGTACCACTCCCGAGTCGAGGATCCATGACGCCTTGCGAGGCGTCAACGCGGTCCCGAGTCGAGGATCGATGCGCCTTGGGAGACGTCAGCGGGGTACGGTGCGCATAAGTCATCCGCGGACTCCCCGCTCCCCCGCGCCCCTCCCCCTCCCCCGTTTCGGCGGCGAGCGAGGGGGGGAAGTGAGAAGGAGAAGGCCTTCTCTGAAGACAAACAACAACTTCTCAGAAGGCGCGAGGGCTTCTGACTGAGAAGTCCCGCCGCCCTCTCAGAAGGCCTTCTCCTTACCACTTCCCCCCCCTCGCTCGCCGCCGCTTCCCGCACCCTCACACGACGCTTCCCCCTTTCTGACGGGGGAGGGGTACGGCTTTGCAGGCCGTCTCCTGCTGGGCCGCCCTCGAGCGCTCGCGCATCTCCTCGGCCAGCCTCTCGAAGCGGAGCCGAGCGGCGTGCTCCGCGACGCGGCACGCCTCCTCGGGCCGGCGGGAAGCGGAGGCGCAGCCGGGAGCGGGAGAAGGACGAGCACTCAGGTCGAGCACGTCCTCCCAGAGGCGGATTCTGGAAGTCAAACAAAGCTCAAACATAGTCGGAAAGAGTGAAACAATCGTCACCATGCAATATGTGGACTGTTTTTGACGATTCCTCCTGTAGAGGGACAGGCTCGACTTAAGACGAACAGCAACATGAGTCTGCAGGGCCGAGCACACTCGAAGGCAAGGTCCCGAAGGCTTCGGTGGTGTCGGAGAAGGGCTTTGCGAGTGCACGGATGCCTCCTCGAGGTGCGCCCTCATGGTTCGGACGGTGCTCGGAAGGTCTTTCAGCACCGACTGTGAGAAGGGGGGAAAAAGAGATGGAAGCGACATGGAGGGAGGAGGGGGGGAGGGAGAGAGGGGGCCAGCGGAAGGAGGTGAAAGGATGACCATGATAAGCCCATGGCCCATGCTGCATGAACGATGCTGCAGTACTGGGGAAACCAAGAGGTAACGATACCGCTACTCCCCGGACCTTTCCTGGGGTGCCTTCTGACCAGGATTTCGAGGCGAATCCAGCGGTGGCGACGAGGGCCCCCAGGAGGCCCAAAAGGGGGAAAACGAGGAAAGGGTAGAGGTATAGGTACCTTTTCCTCCTCCGAAATACACCCTCCCTATCCCAAGTCCCCTCCTCGCAGATCCCCTCGAGCAGCCCTCCGTCGTTGCGGGAGCCGCCCCCTCGAAGACGAGCGTCCCATGGGCCTGCCCATCCAGGCGATGCCCCCCATGCTGACCACGAAGCGACATCAAACTTTCGGGTGTAAGAGGAGCCACCACGCACCACCACGACGATCGAGGAAACTGAAATCTGAGCTCCAGTCTGAGAAGCATCCGCGCTCCACCCATCTGACCGTTGTGCAGATTCGCAGCCTTGCCCTAACATGGAGCAGCCCTGCACCCATGGAATGGCTGCACAGCGTGGACCTTCTGGCACTGCACGGGGCGGACATGTCCAGCGGCAGCCCCAATCTGAACCTGAGGCCCGTTCTTCACCCGTGCAACGGCCGCACATGCCTGGGACGGATGTGTCCGGCACCAATACACAGAACAACACTTCAGAACGGCCCGCCCTGTTTGGCGGCGCGCACAAGGGGGTGGGGGGAGGGGGGGGCTTCTTAGAAGGAGGTTGCTTCTTAGAAGGCGCCGGCCTTACACCTATAGATAAGGCCCGCGCCGTCAAAGAAGCAGGGGTGCTTCTAAGAAGCCCCCCCTCCCCCCACCCCACCCCCTGCGCGTGGCTGACCTGTATCGGTGCAACTGCTGCAAGCGTGTTGTCCGACCATCATGTGGTGCTGGGCCGCTATTTTGAACAGACAGCGCCCCGCGTCCTCTTTTTTTTGGCTGCGAGCGCGGGGGGGGAAGGTGAGAAGGGGCAAGCTTTCTCTAAAAGTTCGGAAGTCTCCTGGCCTTCTGAGAAGTTTTCTAAGCCTTCCACGAAGACACTGAAAGCGTCTCAGAAGGCGCGAGGGTTTCTGAGAAGTTGCGCCGCCTTCTGAGAAGGCCTTTTCCTTCTCATGTCCTTCCTTTGTTCGCCGCAAGCCTTCCTCCTCCTCCCCCCACTCCTTCCCCCCGTTCCTCCCGCCCTTGCCTCTGCCCTCGACCCCCCCACCCATTGTGGCCCACCCCTCGCAAGTGTCGTGGCCCCACAGGGAGCTCCACTGAAAGCCCCAGTGGCAGGGTCCACATGCGGCCCCGCCGCCCAGTACAGCGCCTCGCGGCCCCATCGGGAGCTCCAACGACGGCCCCAGTGGCAGGGTCCACATGCGGTTCCGCCGCTCAATGCCAATGCTTCGTGGCCCCATGGGCAGATCCACCCAAGGCCCCAGCGGCACGGCACATGTGCGGATCCCCCGCCCAATGCATCGCGCCGGGGCCTCCTTGGGAACTCCGTCGGAGGTCCCAATGGGCGCAGCCCGCATGCGTCTCCCCCCAGTACAGTGCCGCATGGCCACCCACGGAGCTCCGCCGAAGGCCCCCGTGGTAGCCTCCAGGAGGCCCAAGATAGCATCCGACAAGCTTCCAGGAGACTCAAACACGGCTCCACGACGGTTTCAGATGCCTCGGAACTATCCAATGACCCCCTGTATCTGGAAGCGTTGCCTGCCGTTGAGTAGCCGCCAATTTCCGCCAACGGGCGCGCCGCTGTGCCACTTCTGCCGCCAACCGCTGACCGCGAAACCTGGAGTAGGAAGGGCAAAGAAGTGAGGCAGGCAGAGATCGGATACTCAGCCGACGCATGTGTAGCTCGCGCGCCGCACACACTGTACAACATATGTCGCAGCTCATAAATAATTCCACGCATATTGCGTGACAGATACTGCACCACGCATATTGCACAACATAAATTGCACAACATGGGCTGCACAACATGTATCGCACAACGGACATTGCGTAAACAATGGGACCACATGCATTGCAACGCGCGCGTTGCTTTACATCAAGTAATTGTACGACATATACTGAAGCACATAGATCAGACCATATCGATTACGCCACATGGACTGCATACCACATATGGCACCACATCGGCTGCACTCCAAACAATGCAGAACATGGGTTGCCCAACACATATTGCGCCGCGTCGTTGTCGGCGAAAATGCGGCGCGCCGAAGGCGCCCCAGGTGGCGAGGCACCCCGCCCGGCAAGATTCTGCCTCTCCCAGGCAAGCTCTTCACGAAGGTCTCTGAGTTCGTTAGCCCCTCGGGGGATCTCCCCACGACCAGCAAGGGCATAGTGGGACCCAGCTGTGATTAGACCAACGCCCCTGCAAATTGCGCAGGGTGCCTCAGTTGCAGTACCTTCCATATTGCCAGCCAGCTGTCTGCCCACATGAGCATGTGCAACTCGGTCCCAGCACTATGTGGCCACACTGAAGCCTCCAGACCTTGTCATGATGCATGAAGTAATCCAGGCATATGGCACACTTGTTAAAGTCACCGTCGCTGATGACTGGCGGCGTTGCCGATGGCCTGATGCGCGTCTGGCGCTCCAGAGAGGTTTCACCAACTTCATATCGAATCGGTGGGACCGACGGTAGCTGCATTGCTGCAGGTGCTGCCGGGGTAAGTGCAGGTGCCCCTGCTGTCGTTGGAGTAGCAGGTTGCCCCGCACGGCCTAGCATCCTGTCTGCCTGGCGCTCGTGGTTGCGACGCTGGCGGGCCGATTGCATCAATAAAGGTTTGCCTGCTGCGCGTGGTGAATGGCCAGAAGTTCTGGGCGCAGCCCCCCCATGGATGATAGCACTACCAGGCCCGGGGCATGCTGCGTCACAGCTAAGCCCATAGGGGTAGCCAAACATCCACGATGAGGAACCTGGCCCGGCACGCCAGACGCGTAACCAGAGCCGCGCGTCAACTGAGACTGGTAGAAGTCGTCGGCCGTCGCTCGTACATACGGGCTCTCCGGCTGCATTCCCCCACGAGGCTTGCCAGTTACCTGAGCATGGTAATCGGATACAATGGGAAGTCCATCGGCGGTGCTGTAGGGCGCTCTGCAGCTGTCGGATCGCATGTCGGATGACTGAAAACTGCAGGCACGTATCCGTACCGATTGGGATTGTCCGGTGATGGATTTGGGTCCGGGACATACTCCCATGGCGGCGTCCAGTTAGCGTTAGGGAGGTCGATGCCATCCCTGCGCGCGCTCTGTGCGGCTTTGCGCATCTGCCGGTACATCCACTCTTGCTGACTAGCTAGGCTCTCGGCCCTCTGCGCAGCGTGGTGATCAGGAAAAGCAGGTTGCCCCGCATGTGGGCACGGCAATGCGAATGGCGATGTCGCCTGTAAGGCCTGGTAGAGCTGCGGGCCCATCCGAATGCTTTGGAGCCTTGCCTGTAGGCCATTGGTGCTCCCAGCACTCCGTGGAGTCCCAAATGGTGTTGTGGCTCTGTTCATATGTGCGAACGACGCAGGTCGCCCTGCAGGTGCTGGCAAATGCCGCACCTGAGCACGCCACGGATCGCTGGCGCACAACACGTCGACGGGAGTACTGCCACTCGAAGTCATACCTGTCACGTCCGCACTTTGGGCCTGCATCCATGATCCGCCAGGTCCCCCTGCAGGTGCCCCCGCCTGATACACATCTTGCAGCGTAAATGCTGCAGAGAACTCGACCTCCTGAATGGGCGCCGGTTCGGGGCACTTCAAATTGCATGGGGTCTTTGGAGTGGACCAATATTTCAACGATGATGCATCGTTCCGAAAGTCGTACATGTCTTCGATGGAAAGACCACTGATCGGATACTTCTGATCGTTGTCCCGCAGGTACAAGGGATTGATCCACGCGTGTCCCCCGCGGTTGCACCTGCACTGGTCGTTGGGCAGAATACCTATAAGCTGGACGATGCGAGTCGGAGGAATTATGCCGTTCTGGCCTGCCGACATGTTTAAATCGTTTGCTGAGCGTCAAATAGACATGTTTTCCCGAAGCAAGTTATTCAAACTAACCATAACCAAAACCTCGGAGTCAACACGCAGGCCAGACTGGATTCTGTTATCGCCCGGTAAATATGGGCAAGCATGAACAAACTGTCGGCCTTATCTTGATGGTGTCGTCGGCACGGCATGACAGCTCTATGCCAAGTAGACTCGGGATGTTTGCCCACTGGGTACCACAATAAAGTAGCAAGGTGCACCTGGAATTTTCAAATCTGTTATCCTCATATACAAAAGCTTCAGGGCATTTTATCCGAGGACTGCTGCGTCCATTACTTGGGCGGATGAAATATGTCTCGTGCGCCTCAGAAGCGTACTGGCACTTCTTGACCTGTAGCCTGTTATTACGCATCCCAGTGTTGTCAACCATGCCAATCAAGTCTAGCACAGTCAATGCTTGGTATGCCCAATGACGCGACCTGAGATGCCGGCGCACAGTCTCCAGATGTTTGTGACGATGACGATCATATCCTTCAGGTGGCCAATGGTTGAGCAGCTCTGGAAGCTCAACCCATCCATCGAATTTACCGAAAGACGGTACTGCTCGCAGAAACCTATCAGAGAGATGGCTGCTATGAAATGGTTTAAGGCGAAGAGCAGTCGTAAACCATTCTGAACAGCGGCGCTGCTCCTCATGGCTCAACCCTCGCTGCAAAGCTGCAGCTTGCTGGGAGGGCGTCACGTTGCCTGTGGTCACGTTGATCCAAGCATGTACCTCGCGGGCGAATTCGCGAAAAGGTACCTGACCGGCAGGGTCCCAATGAAGGCCGGTCGTCGTTCTCGTGTCGTCCACGCATATGTCCTACCGCACACCCGATAGCGACCCATGTGAGCCCAAAGATAGTAACACCAATCCAATGGCCTTGTATGTCGTAATCGGATGTAGTCGGCTTGGGCTTCCGATGTGTGATCGTAAGTCTGCGTGGGGGTGACATTATGTCTTCGAAGAACCTTCCAATTGGAGTAGGTGGGCGGACTTCAGGAGTGTAGTAGCGCATGGGTGTAGGACGAAAGTAAAGGGCCTCCGCGTAAGCAAAGTGTCACTGCAATTGTCTTTGCTATACTGCGTAGTTATATACATTCCTCCGCGCAAGCCCGCTGCACCCTGATGTTCCACCATATGTGTAGTCCACCAGGTAGTGCCGTGGATGGCGAGGAGTAGAAATAGAACTGACCACCATAGGCCAGCTCCACTACCATGTTTGAATGGGGTTGGGAGACCCGACCAACTGCTTCGCCTCAGGCGAAGACCAGCTCCCGCTCAGTTGTACCGTAGTAACGATAGTCCCAGTAGTAGGGTCCGAGCCATCTCAAGCAGAATTTTGGTATCGATGGCAAATAGTACACCTCGCGCTGAGGTGTAGTCAGATCTGGGCGGCTGGCCGCTTGAGCCACGCGGCCGCGGGCACACGTTCGCTTCCGCTCCCTATGTGCCCCAGCTCACTTTAGAGTCCCTTCCCCTCTCAGCCCACCTCACCTTCTCTGTCTCTCTCTCTTTCTGTCTTTCTCTCCCCACCCCCATCCCCTTCCCAATCCCCTTCCCCCTTCCCAATCCCCTTCCCCCTTCCCAATCCCCTTCCCCCTCCCTACCTCTTTCGCCTACGGCGATGATTCGCCGCATGCGTCTGACAGATACCTTCCGAGACCGCCAGCGAACTCCCAGGAGACCCCCAAGACATCCCCCCTGACGCACCCAAGAAGCCCCCAACGGGCCCCACGAAACCTGAAACATGTTTCTAAGAGGCCCCCGCGAGGCCTCTTAGGAGAGCCCAACAAGCCTCCAAGCGTCCGCGGCCTTTCTGGGCCCCCCTCTTGATCCCCCTTTCAGGGTGGAAGGGACCTGCAATGATTGATGTTTTTATGGCTTTTGGTAGATCTAGAAATATGTGGTTATTTGATCTCTGTCCCAGGCACCCCCTGGACGCGAGAGAAAGAGAGAGAGAGAGAGAGAGACAGAAAGAGAGACAGGGCGAGAGAGAGATAGAGAGATAAAGAAAGAGAGAGAGAGAGAGCAAGAGAGAGAGAGAGAGAAGGAACCGGAACGGGAACGGGAACGAACCCCTGGGGCGTTCACTGTTTTTACGGGGGAGTCCCCCTGGTTCTGATCGACGGCGCCGAATGATTGCTCCCCCCCCCAGATCGAAACGCGCCGCCGAATGTTCCCTAGGCAAGCGCCCGTGAAACGCGCTCTCTCCTACATGTGCATCTACATCTACATCTACATATGAACATCTACATCTACATCTACATATACATGTACGTCTGCAAATACATAAACGTATACACATACATCTACATCAGTTATACACATATACGCATACGCGCAAACATAGACCTAGGCCTTTACCTATACCTCTACATATGCCTATACCTATACCTAGACCTACATACACATATGCATGCATATACGTATACGTATACATAAACGTATACAATTACACACGCATACTTATACCTTTACACCTACATATATAGTTGCAGGTGCATATACATATGCATACCTACATGCATGCATACATACGAAATGTACATATGGGTGCATATGCACATATGCATATACACAGCTGTCCAACTGTGAATACACACATGTGTAGGTATGTAGGTATGTATGCGTATACATAGATACTGGTTAGTACGTTTACGGATCTGTATAACTATATCTAAGCATATATTGGTCGGGGGGGACGGGAGAGAGAGAGAGAGGGAGAGAGAAAAACAAAAAAAGAGAAAGAGAACGAGAAAGAGAGAAAACAAGTGAACGCGAAATAAAAACAAATGACAGACAGAGAGCGACAGAAAGAGAGAGATAGAGAGGTAGAACGAGAGAGAGAGAGAAGGATAGGGATAGAGAGATAGAGAGCGGGAGCGGGAAGGAGACTGAGAGGCGAGGAGGTAGGGAGTGAAGTGGAATAGACTGGACCGCGTCGAGGAAGCAAGTGGCCATTACGACTAAACGACCACAAACTTAGCGACTCGAAGGCAAGGAAATAGGGAAACACGGAGGAACGGAGGGAGGGGCGAGAGAGGGAGGGGTGAGGGAGGGAACGAGGGAGGGAGAAGGAAGGAGGAAACGGAGGGGCACGGCATGAAGGAGGAGGAGGAGGAGGCGGAGGAAAAGCAGGAGGAGGAGGAGGAAAAGCAGGAAGAGGAGGAGGAAAAGCAGGGGGAGGAGGAGGAAGTGGAGCAGGGGGAGCGGCAGAGGGGAGTCGGGCGACCCCCTCCACAACATCTGAACGGCCCCTGGGCTTTCGGCGGGCCGATCCTCCTGCTCGGCCAGGCGGCCAGGCTCGGGGGCGGCGACCTCGAGCCACGCCTCCCTGGACGGCCGTGGCGGCTCTTCCCGGGCCACCGCGGCCGCCCCCGCCTGGGGCGGGCAGGCGCCGCCGTGCGCCTGGGCGGGGGCGACTCCGCGGGGGGGGGGGGGAATTCGGCTCGGCCCGGCCGGAAGGGGGGGCTGGCCCTGGGGATTATGTCGTGTCGCGAGGGGGAAGCGCGGAAGAGGTTATGGAGGAGGAAATGGAGGAGGAGGCGGAGGAGGAGGAGGAACCCTGGCTGGAGGAGGCGGAGGAGGAGGAGGAAGAGGAGGAGGAGGAGAGGATGAGAATGAGGATGAGGATGAGGATGAGGATGAGGATGATGAGGAGGAGGAGGAGGAAGAGGAGGAGGATGAGGAGGAGGAAGGGGGTGCGGAGGGGGAGGAGGACGACAAGAGAAAGCCCAAAATGTACCAGCCATGCAGCAGTGCACCCACCCGTCCCAAGTCCACTCGCCAATTATCCCTGCAAATCCGCTCACCACTGAGGAACGGCCCCCTTGAGAGACAATCGCCCCATGTGCCTACAATTCAGGCGGGAACTCCGCTATGCAAAAAAAACCTCCAGACTTCGAGCTAAAAAGAATTCGACAACGTGGGGTCGCAAAAGGACAGGGGAATGCCAAGCGACAAATAGTGTTCAACCAATTCGCGAACCAAAACTCTGCGTTTGAGAAAGCTCCGCCCTCCATCCGTGAAATATCAAAACGGCCGAAGACGGAAGAACAAAACTCACGCGAGATCCCCATAATGAAAAAGAACAGCCCTCTATCCTTGAAGCTGCGGGAAGTGATCCCGACGATTGTCCGCGGCGATAAGGCGCCATTCTGAAAACAAATGAGCCGTGTTTTACTCGTACAAATGCATGGTTGTTCAAGGACGCGGGGCAAAAACGATAACCCCGCTTGTTTAACGACTCGCCCGCTGTCCCTGCCACTGCTTGCCACTGCTGGCGCAGCGCCAAGACGAAAAACCCGCCTTGAAAACCACCTGCCCTCCATCCGTGTGACAATGGGAGACGTTTAAAGCAAACGCACGCGACGCTTAGGCGAAAGCCCTCTTGAAGACAGCCCGCCCACCCGGGCAAACGTCGGCGATCTCCAAGATCGCAAAAACGGCAGGGCCGTTTCGAGCGAAACGCCCGGCCCCCCCTGACGAACCGTTAGGTGGTGCGCCAAGAAAAAAGAAAGGAGAAGGGACACTCCATTGAAAGAGACGAGAAGAGGGCAAGCGGACAAGAGGGCGAGACGAGGGTAAGCGTCCAGATCTTCATACGACTCCTCTGCCGCATCAGCAAGTGGGAGAGAAACAAAAAAGGAGGAACAAGTTTGCTTGACGAGCGCCTTGCTACCCGCAGCACTCGCGGATTGGAATATGTTTACCCCGGAGGCCTGGCTCCGACGGGCGGAGAAAAACTGTAGCCTTTGATCGGAATTCTTGCGCCTCGCTTGTCTGACGAGGTGCATAATCAGAGCGGATTTCACCATTTGCAAGGCATGCGCATGATGAGCAAAATCCCACTGGAACAGTCGTGGGCCACGCAAGAATGATCCCTGCAATTTGCTGCGCTAGCGACTGACAAATCGTCAGCACATACACTGTTGCTGGGAATGGCTGCTTGCCTCTTACACCGCACACACTTGTCATATTTCCAAATACGTCCTGCGCCAAAGGAAATAGGAAGAGGGAAACGGGGAGGAGGGGCAGGAGGGCGAGGAAAACGGGACGGAGGAAAAGGACGAGGAATAGGAGGTGGTGGTGGGGGGAGGAAGTGCTGCTATAGCGGGGGGGGAACCGAGCTATTCGGATTAGGGTGATGCAGGAAGGGGCTGAGGAAGGACAGGAAAGGGAAGAAGTGGAGGCGGGTGGGCGAAAACCGAGGATCGTAGAACGATCGCAGGGGGCGCCACCACACACGAAGTGGGACCTATCCGATGGGTTGGCGTTTACATCGTGCTCCAAACCACGGGCTGGCAGAACCCCAGCCACCACGCGGTGGAGGTAACGAGCGAGCGAGTGGGGCCAGGCGGACCAAGCGCTGGCCTGGGGCCGAACCCCGCGCCCACGAACCAACCTCGCGGCGCTGCTTGCCAGGCCCCGCCCCAACACCCGAATTGGAAAGCCTGGGTCGCAGCATGCCCCAGGGCGCGCCCTGCGCGGGCTGCTGCGCGCGTAGCAACGCACGCCACTCAGCCCCTAACGCCACTCAGCCCCTAACGCGCCACCCACTCTTTCTAATGATTCTCAAACACGCCGTCCGCAATAATTATTACACGCCCCATGCTCTTGAACATTCTCGCACGCGGTGCCGGAGTTCTTGCGGAAAACACAACTTACTCGGCCCATCGCTTCGCAGGGCGCCCTGTGGGTCGAATTCCAGCGGGGTCCCACTTAAGCGCATGGTTTCTCCCACGCTGGCCCGTGACTTCCATAAGTTGTTCGATGAGTCTGTCATTGCGCTTTGCTTGGGCCTGCAGCAACGGTGAGGAACAAATCACATGCTCTTCCTCAGCACGATACGTTGCTCTCTAATGCCAACCAATGCAAGGCTCGTCCGGCGCGCAAGTCTCCTCCTGGGCAATTTTTGCATTTGTCGCGGCGGTGAGCGTCCACGCACCGTTCCCGTTCAGAACAATGGAAGACATGACGGCGTCGAAAAACTTGAACCTGGATTTCAACATATGTGTTTATTGCACATCTCTGCTCTGAACCGGCCGAAGGCCGCCCAGCCTTTCGAAGTGCAGCTACTGATCTCCATGTCGTAGATATCTCCAGAACGGTCTGGGACATGCCAAGGTCTGAAAGAGCGTGATCCACCGCCGCTTTACTGTGGAAAATTCCCCCCCTCTTCCTCCGGAACCCGGGGGTCCCCCCCCCTCCCTCGAAAATCCACCCTCCCTGCTGGACGCCCCCCCCTCCCCCCGGCAAAACCCCCCCTCCCTTAACCCCCCCCTCCGGAAAACCGAAGGGGGTCACTACATGTTCGAACCCCCACCCCCACCCCTCCGGAAAACCAGGAGGGGGTCACTACCGGTTCGAACCCCCCACCCACCCACCCCTCAGAATACCAAAGGGGGGGTCACTACCGGTTCGAACTCCTCCCCCCCCTCCAGAAAACCGGGGGGGGAGGGTCACTACCGTTTCGAACTCCCCCCCCCCTTCCAGAAAACTGAGGGGGTCACTACCGGTTCGAACCCCCCCCATCGCAAACCGGGGGGGGTCACTACCGGTTCCACATCCCCCACTGCTGTCCCCAGCACCACTCTCCTCACCACCAGTCCCCACTGTTCCCACCACCGTCCCCACTTTCCCCAGCAGTGCCCCCACCACTGTCGCACTGTCCCCACTGTCCCCACCACTGTTCCCACCACGGTTCCACTCTCCCCACTTTCTCCACGGCCCCAACCACTGTCTCCACTTTCCCACTGTCCGACTGTCCCCGCCGCTGTCCCACTGAGCTGTCCCACTAATCCCACCACTGTCCCCACTGTCCCCACCGCTGTCCCCACTGTACCTCTGTCCCATTATCCCACCGCCGTCCTCGCCACCGCCCTCACCACTGTCCCCACCACCACTGTACCCTCCACTGTCCCACTGTTTCCACCACATTCCCACTGTCCCCACACCACTGTCCCCACCACCACCGTCCCCACCACTGTCCCACTGTCCCCACTGTTCCCACCATTGTCCCCGCTGTCCCCACCAATGCCCCCACCAGTGTCTCTGTGTCCCCAGTCTCCCCACCATTGTCCCACCACGGCCCCCACTGTCCCCACCTTCCCCACCACTGTCTCACTGTCCCCACTGTACCCACCACTGTCCCCCTGTCCCCGCCGCTGTCCGACTGTGCTGTCCCACCGTCCCAACTGTCCCCATCACTGTCCCGCTATCCCCACTGTCCCCTCCATTTGCCCCACTGTACTACTATCCCACCACTGTCCTCACCACCGCCTTCACCACTGTCCCCACCACTACCGTCCCCACCACTGTCCCACTGTCCCCACCACTGTCCCGCTGTCCCCTCGCCACTGTCCCCACCACCACCGTCCCCACCACTGTCCGCACCACTGTCCCACTGTCCCCGCACCACTGTCCCCACCACCACCGTTCCCACCACTGTCCTAGCATCCCCACCATTGTCCAACTGTCCCGAGGAGCGGGGTCTCGAACCGGTAGTGACCCCCCCCGGCTTTCGAGGGGGGGGGGGGGTCGAACCCGTAGTGACCCCCCCCGGTTTTCGAGGGGGGGGTGGGGGACGGGTTGGGAACCCCCAGTACCCCCAGTGACCCCCCCGGTTTTCCGCCAGCAGCGGTAGAACACGCTCTTTCCAAGGTTTAGGTCGGGCATGTCCTCTTACAGGCGGATTTTGCAAGAAAAATGAAAATAGTCCAAACATATTCAAAAATAGTCAACGTTAGTCAAAAAATCGTCCCCTTACTATTTTTCTGCTATTTTCCAATAATCCTCCTGTAGCGGGACATGCCCGATTTAAGCCAAAGTGCGCCGTGCTGTCGTCAACCGGTAGCACCTCGACCTGTCCTACGCCCACCTGCACGTGACGCTGTCGCAGCAAGCCTCTTCGATTCTGAACGGTTGGCATGATGTTACTTGCAGGCGTGAAGATTCGAACCAACGTTAGTCGCGGCGTCATTCAGATGTTCGATCAGAACAGTTCCACTTGTGCCGGGGTGATTCCGAGTGCCCCTCGAGAGCCCCAAGAGAGCCCCAAGAGGGCCCAAGAGGTCTCCAAAATGGCCCCACAGGGGTTCCAAGAGGCCTCCAAGACGCTCCCAGAGCAAAAGATCGCAAAGATCGTGACATTGACTCCTGTCGTCGTCGTCGTCGTCGCCAGGGCTTCGGCCGTCCTGAAGGGAAACCCGTCCTTGGCGAACCCTGTCCATTCTAGCGGGACCGGTACGGGAGAGAGGAGTGTCCACCAGGACACGGGAGCCAGATTTTTTTGAATTCATTCGAGAAACGTTCTATGTACGCCAGCCTTGATGCAGCGGCGGAGTCATGGGAAATCTTCTCGCCGGAATCTCTGTCTCCCG